ATTTTTCGTGAAACTAGCCCATAGTTCACTAAAATCTAATTATATGAATGATTCCTTGGGCTTATGTATAAGGTTTACACATCTTCAATCTCTTTCATGTACATTTTCTCGTATGATCCTCACAACTGATCTCTAAGGTAGATGGAACCAGAAATTATTACCCCTATGTATTAATATTTTCATCATTTCATTTCAGATAGCTGAATATTGATTTAAATTCATATTTAGTAAATCTTTCCAGCTAACTTACATAGATCACATGAAATATAATTTATGACATGTATTATAGAAAGCTAAGAAATAATAAAGATAGTGAGAATAACTTAACAACAGAATCTATTTGGAAGAAAAACAGGTTTTCCTGATGAGTTAGGTCATTCTCTTAATGATTAACATGAGCCTTTGTTAATGTTTTACTAAGAAATCCATCTTTAATGCTTGCTTAATGAAAAAAATATTTTATCAAGTTCTTCTCCACTTCAAAAGATAAATTCTATGCTGGGAGATTTAGAGTCATTTCTAATACTAGGTCCTCTGAGCCATGAGTTAAGTATTCGTGAACATACTCATGTTTTCTTTTTCTTTATTCCACAAATACAATTGTCAATAATCTGGCAGAAAGCACAGCCTAATCTCTACCAAACAAAATTCCAGTATTTAATGAGAAAATACATTTCTGATGTCTTAGCCAAAAATGCAAAGCCCCCTGTATAAGTGAATGGAATTAAAAAGAAATCCTTAGTACCTAGTAACAGAATAAACCTAATGAAACACAACACACCCTTAAATAAAAATGACTACCAAAATAAAGGTTTACATAACAAATGAACATCTGTAATTTTGCATGTAAAATAAATGTTGTAGGGGCTAGAAATACAGCTCAGGGGTAGTCTAGCATGCATGAGTCCTGGATTTGATCCCCAGTACTGTCAAACTTTTGGGGCAGAAAAGATTACTGAAATGAGAACTAGACTCTGAAGCGAGAGCACTGACTCAACACATATTATCTCAATTAACTATATCCTAGTTTTTATTTGCAAATTTAAATCCTTCTGGGAAATTAAAAGGAAAATAAACTATCAATGCTTTATTCCTCTTGAGCTATTTCTTGTTTTTAACCATTATTCTTCCAATATCTATTCATAAACTTAAAGTTAACGATTACAGGTGGTGGTCATTAGTTGTGGTCCATATTGAGTCTTGGAAAGATCAAACTAACTAGGATAATACTTTTTTTTTGTCTTTTTCATTTTTATCGGTACCAGGGATCGAACTCACAACTGCCTGCCTACAAGGCAGGCACTTATGCCGCTGAGCTAAATCCCCAGCCCAATACTTTTGAAAAAAATCTCTAAGCATACCAAATCTATTACAAAGCTAAAATGGATCAGTTATGCAAGTATGTGTTATAAATAAATCGATGCTTTGGAGAAAAAGAAAAGAAAACTAAATACACTAGCTGTCATCTAGTGTCACCCGTCTTAAGATTTTTATTTTGGTCATAGTAGAGAGTAATGTAGATGTATGAATGTGAATTTGTGCAACTCTGAAGATGTTTAGAGGCCTAAGCCTTCTACCTTGTCTTGTTTGCCACACTTTAAAAAATTCAGAACTAAAAAAGTATTCAGAATTGTTAATTACTATGAATTAGAAAGGCTGACTCTTTTCAACTCTGAAATTCTCTTTTCAAATTAACGGCTCACATTTCACTGAAGTGTTGGCTCTCTCTAGAAGTGTAGATCTGTTCTGTACCATCTCAGCTGGTGGCTGTTGTACTAGCACTTATGAGCCGTCAAATACTTAACTCTTTCATTGCTTGCAAGAAGGATAGTTTAGTGGCAATGAGCAATGTTGGGCTATTCTGAACTCAACAGTGGTAGGGTGGAAGACATTCTCATTACAAAGCTTAATGCATGAAATGTGATCAACATATACAGTGAATTTTTAAATTTAAAAAAAAATTACAGTAAAATACACATCTCCAACAACCTTTTCAAGTACTTCCCTTTGCTTTGAACACACTATGCCATCTTTTGTGTGTTTTTCCTTTTTATCGGTACCGGGATCAACTCACAACTGTCAGCTTACAAGGCAGGCGCTTATGCCACTGAGCTAAATTTCCAGCCCCATACTATGCCATCTTTCTTGCCTCTTTCTGAAGCAGTCCTGGAGTCTTCTTTTGTGTCTTTTGAGGTGTGATTTTAAAAAATATGGTAAGTGCTGCTGCTGTGTGCCATCCAATGGAAGGGCAGGCTTGTACAAATATTAGGATGTGTCCTCATCTACCTTCTTCACGAGATGTGGCATCATGCAACTTCTGGTTCTTCTCCAGATTTGAAATGACCATGACAGGTATATATCTTGCATCGATTCAGCCACAACAATGCAACTGAACATATCAAAGACTTATAGAACTGCTTCAAATAGTGGCAAAATTTATGGGATGTGTTGAGAGTGAGGGGGAGATTTTAAGGGAGACTAATGGCAATATGTCCTCTAACATAACATATTCTAAAAGTTTAAACATTCACCGTAGCTTGCTTGCTTTTCTTTCTTCCCTCTTTCTTTTCTTTTGAGACAGAATCTCTTTATATAGGCCAGGCTGGCCTCAAACTTACAGTAATCCTTCTGCCTCAGGCTTTATTATAGTTTTCAATTACATATAAGAAAGTATCTTCAAAAAGTAGAATTAGAAGGAACTTTACAAGATGTATTTTATACCTCCATGAGAAGGCATTGTTTTCTCTTTCAAAGAGAAAATACACAATCAGTTCAACAATGAGTTACTGGGAAAGGAGGCGAGGTTGATACACTGATTTGATTTAGTTTTTAGTCTGTTCTTGCTTCACACTTTAAAACACACTGCACTGGTTTTTAAACTTTTTAGTTTTGAGGACTGAACTCAGGAACTCAGGGCTTCACCCATGGTAGGCAAGTGCTTTATCACTGAGCTACACCCTCAGCTAAAGTATTTTTTTAAAAAATGATGTCCTGTTTTGAGGATTTTGTTTCCCTTACTTTTCAAATAAGGGAAAAAGAAATGAAGTTTTTCTTTGTGGTACTGGGGACTGAAATCAGTCCCACAGTTACATCTCTAGCCCTTGTTTATTGTTTTCATATGTATGGTATTGCTAAGCCGGTAAGTTGCCAAGGCTGGGCTGAGGTTTTTGATCTTCATGCCTCAGTTTACTAGACTATAGACAGCAGTTATTTGCCACCATACCTGGCTTGGAGTTGACTTTTGATTGTTTAAATGTCTATTAAAGTTCAGCAACAGCACTGGTGAGTTAAAAATTCGCCCTTGTTTTGTTTGAGACAAGGTGTCACAATGCAACCCAGGCTGGGCTTGAACTGGGATCTTCCTGCTTCAGCCTCCCAAGAGTGCTGTGATTACACATATATTACCATGCCAAGCAGTAAAACTATGCACATTTACATAAAATTTTTTCTTACTGTTAAAAATAGTTAAGAAGAAGCTGAGAGTGGTGGCACATATCTGTAATCCCAGCACACACAGGTAGCTGAGGCAGGAGAATCACTGCACATTCTAGGTTGGCCTGGCTACACAGTGAGTTCAAAGCTAGCTTCAACTATATAGTTAGACCCTGTCTCAAAACAAAATAAAACACAAGGAAGCAGTTACAGGAGAAACAAATATTATTCCTGGGATGTAGAGTATTTGTGGGTGGGTGGGGAAGACACTGGTAAAAGACTGGCAAAATGTTGGTAACTTGAAACTAACAAGTACCATGGATTTATTACACTTTCTACTTTTGTGTAACTGAATTTTTAAGAATCCTCATCTTGATTAATATTAGATGAAAAGACTGCATTTATGACAAGGTTATGATTTGTCTCATGCAACAGCAGTGATACTGTCAAAGATTAGCTAACCACTCTGTAGTCTATACCTGAAATTTAAACTCTTCATTTTGTAACTTCCATTGTGGGGAGGGAGATAGCACAAACTATCTACTTCTAAATGTCTCTCTGTCACAGGATCCTTTTATTCCCCTTTTTTGGTAGAGCTGGAGAGAAAACCCAGGGTCTCACACATACTAGGAAAGGACTTTACTACTGAGCCACATCCTGGCTCCTCCCTCACTCTTTAGCAAACTAGTTGCCCAAAGCTTCTGAAACTTTCAGGGTGGCTTCAGGTTCAAACTCAAAACTCCTTCTTTGCTGCCAGTAGCAAAGCAATAGTGGTTTTCTAGGTGAACTATCATGCGCTTGTTCAAATTTTGCTTTAAAGACTATACTACCTATTGGGGAAACCAAGTTAATATTTGTGGAGCGAGGAAAAACTACTGTTCATATTTTCATACATTTGAAAGATTTTTCCTTTCTTTTGGTGCTGAGTATTAAATGCAGGGCCTTTTGGGGACAACGATGCACAATGTATGTACCATTGTTACCCCAATTGACGTATTTTGAAATTTAAAAAAATCCAGGGCTCATGCGTGCCAAGCATACATTTTATTTCTGGACAACACTCTTAACCCTCATTTTAGTATTTTTAAGAGGGGTACTTTACTGATTCCTATTTTTTCCTGGTGCATAAGGAATTGAACTCAAGGCCTTGCGCGTGCCAGGCAGGTGCTGTGCCACTGAGCTATATCCCCAGCCCACTTTACTATATTCTAAGAAAGTAAAACAAGCAGGGTGTGGGAGTCAATAGACTGTGATCCTAGCAGGCTAGAAAGCTGAGGCAAAAGGATTGCAAGTCCACGCCCAGCCTGGCAATTTAAGAGACTTAGTAAGAATTTATCTCAAAGTAAAAAGTTAATAAGTCTGGGGATTTAGCTCAGTATAAAAGCCCTGGCTTCAATCTTTAGTAACCACCAAAAATTTTTTTTTGGTCTTTTTCCTTTTTATCGGTACCAGGGATCGAACTTGCGACTGCCTGCTTGCAAGGCAGGTGCTTATGCCACTGAGCTAAATGCCCAGCCCCTAGTAACCACCAAATTTAAAAAGTGAAACAAATGCAAAGTAATACAATATAATTTTAAAGAATAGTACTTTATTGAGTATGTTTCATTCACAGAAAAATAAGCTTTAATCTACAACAAATGCCAGATTATACAGCAGAAATCAATTCTCTTAGTTTTCCATACTAATGGAAAGGTTCCTACTAAATGAAATAAAAGCCATAAAATTATATTCACAAATATAGTACTCTGTCTCAAAACATTTCACATAATTATTCACAATACTAATATAATGACATAATAATCAGTTGTTCTGTGAAGTTTTTTTGTGTCACAGTAATGAAAAATGTTAAATCTAACAAATTATATTGAAGACTGCTATAGCACATAAAATTTCAGATTTGTAAGTCTGGACAAAATGGTAAAATATATTTACATAGTAATTTTTTTGAGACAAGGTCTTTCTTGGTAGTGCAGGCTGCCCTTGAACTCACTGTATAGCCCAGGCTGGCCTCAAACCTGTGAACCTCTTGCCTCAGCCTCTCCAGTGCTGGCATTACAGATGTGTGCCACTATGCCTGTTTTTTACATAGTAGTTTTAAATGTTACATTAAATGATACATAATATTCATGTGGTAATAGTCAAAGATCTGTATGTATCTCTGCAAACTTCACGCTTCAAATTAGCCTCTTGCTACCCAAACACTAATGTAGTATTATCTAATTTGAAGATATATGTATTTAAGATTGTCCTACTGTATCAATTATAAAGTGTCATTTAGTATGTAGTGAAAGTTATGATATAGTGGAAATAATACTTAAAAAAAATAAACATGAGACTTCCCAGGACAGATAGGTTGGTGAAAATTTTCACCTTCAAATTATGTCCCAGTCAGGTTTCTGCCACAAATTAGCTAATAGTTTTGGGTAAGTTAACTCTCCCTTGAGCCTCAGTTGCTTGACCTGTAAAATGAAAGGGATGAATTAGATACTCTAAAGTCACTCACAGCTCTGCCATGTATGATTCCATCACGCTGACAGAAATCCACATTATATTAAGTGTATGAGACAAATTAAAACTGATTATTAGGTAGAACTAAGTCAATTTGTTTTAGAAAAGCTACACTGAATTTGGTAAGAATAACTGAGTTGAAAAAAATTTTTAAAAATGTAAATATTTTTAAGAATTTGACCTATTTACTGTAATTTGTATCTTCACTATAAGAAACACCAAAATGATAATAATTACCATGAGTTACTGGGTAACACTTGTTTCTAAGTTTCTAATTTTCTGGGTCAAGACAAACCCATGGAAAGATAAAAGAGTATTAGGAGGGGAATTAACATTTATATCAGATGCTTTAGAGGCATGATCTCCTTGAATCTCATTACCTTGGATGACAGGTATTATTTTCAGTTCACAGATGAAAAAACGACTATCTTCTTTTAAACAGCAGATTTGACCAAAAAGGACTATGTTTATCATATATTACTTCCCATTTTCTGAGTTCTCTAATGGCAATGACATACAACTTTCCCATTTTTTCCATTCCCTTCACCTCTTTCCTCAATCAACATTTGGGTAATCAGTAATAAAACAATGCTTTGGGTCTAAAGGAAACAATATATACAATTAACACTAGGCAGGTAGATTTCATTCAGAGTTCAAAATATAAATTTTTATCCACTAAGATGAAAACAGAAAAACTACCCAAATTTAAATACAACAAATGCAACAAATATCATCATACACATGGCCAAAATATGTTACATACACCTGTTACACTCACCCCACCCCAGCTCAGCCCTAAGCAAAGAGAGGGGGGAAACCTAATCTAGCAGGAAAGGCAATACAAAATCATTAATGAGTAAACTGAAATTTAGTTTATAAATCCTAAAATCATTTCTCAAAAAGCAAAATATTTGATCAGAACACTATTGCATCTAAAGATAAGTATTTATTACAAAATAACTTCAACCTTCTCGTCACTAAAATGTAGTAAAATAGGTGCTAAATTCAAAGTCATAAAGTGAACTTTATACAGAAAAGAAATGTATTGCATGGAGCTACTGAGAACTATTGTGGAGAGGAGGGTGGTGATTTGGATCTTGGCTGTATTTTTGACCTCGTAAGTGATCAGTTTTTGTACTATTAAATGGAAAAGATCCAATGCTTTTTTGTAGTGTGAATCCAGGCAAATTCTGGTAGGTCTCCAAAAAATTTGATTAGAAGTTGGATTGCTGAAGCAACAGCATTTTGAAACAATTCTTAAAATAAACTTGTTAGCCACATCAGCTTCATGCATTAAATTTCACAACTCATGGAGAAAGAAAAAGGCCTTGCTTAACTCTAAACACATGTTTTAAAACAAGAGCTTTAATGAACTGAGGTTTCCAGAACAGTAAAAGCCTTTTGTTGAAAACAATTCAGTTCCACCCTTGGCTAACAACTCGATTCTACTACCTAGCTGACTTGGACCTGAACTGTCCTGGAGAAAACACTTAAAAATTTAATACCTTTCTCCCTTTATAGAATGCTTTAAATATAAATTTAAAGCTTTGCCTATACAGATCAAATTCAACTTAATGAATGTATAAGCAAACCTAAATGGAAGACAGTGCAAAGGAGTGAGATTTACACAATAAAAGTAGGGTAGTCATTATTTAATTTTTGCAATTCTCACTTAAATTTGCAATGTTTTATACGAGTACCATTTAACAGCAGTTAACAGGTTAGGAGAACACAACAATACTCTTTCTCTTGGAAAAGATAACAAAAACATAATTTTGAACATTTTTACTCTCAAACAGTTCTCTGCAGTAAAATGCCCTACTTGCTATTAAATAAGTCTGTTGTGAGAATGTACATTTCAGATATTCTATGAAGCACTGTTAAACTTTCATATTAACTCATATTTAAGTTATTAAAAATATTTAAGACAACTATTTTTCTGTTACTATTTTATTATTTCCAAGAGATTTTAAGCATCTTGAAGAGTACATTCTTAAAGGTATCTACTACTATTACTAGTCAAGAAAACAAAAAAAGTAGGTAAAGATTTAACATTTTGTCCTATACACATGTTAATCATCCTAACATTAAAAACTCACATGAAACTTCAAAGTACAAGATGCCATGAAAGTCTCAACATGGAATGCTGTCACTATAACTACAAGCAGGGTACAAACACGCTTCTACTTTTACCTACATAAGCTGAAAGATGTTTAAAATACTGGGTTAATAAAGATCTTTTAGTAAAGTGACTTAGGCAGGCTTAAACTAGCAAGGATTAAGGATGAATCCTTACTAATTAATTGGAAGATCTGAGACATATTTTATATTTCATTTTACAAAATCAGAAATATTTATTTTGAAACAAGATAAGACATGGTCTACCTGTCAGAAAACTACCACTCAGAAATATTTTTCATCCAGAAAAGCAGGTAAAACCTACAAACATTTAAATTTTATATTGGCACCAAAAGTTTAATTTCCCTGCCTTCTTGGATTAGAAAAACTAAAGCTGAGCAATAAGTAGTTTCACAGGCGTTTGAACATGCCTAAGCCTTTAAATCAGTAAAATACTTTCTAAAAAAATTCTGATTACAAAAGTAACACATACTTATAAAAATTTCAAACAGAACAAAACAAAAATAAAAAGACAATGAAGGGCCCCCAAAGATCCCTCTGGGACCAACCCCAACCCCTCAAGAAAAACAACACTTAACAATTTGGTGCATATATCTTTCCAAATCTTTCTATTATAGATACAAAATAACGTACCTTGATTTGGCTCATATTAAACACAGTACTTTGCCACTTGCATTTCACACTTAACGTATCTTTTAACATCAATGTCAGTACATGTTGCCTAGAGGACATTCTATCATTAAATACCATTTCAGAAATGGCAAAATCACCTTTTAAAATCATTTACACATTTGTGATTTTAAAATAAAATAGACAGAATCCTAACACATGAAGACAAATATCTAAAAATAATCCCTATCTTTCCACCAGTGTGGAACAGTTCATTCATTTTTCACACAAAACAAATTATGTGACTGAAGAGATTAACTATAATCCCGATGTTTATGCAGAATGGTCCATTTGTTAAGCCTATCTGAAAAGAATGAAACATTCAGATGATTAATTCACTTACACTTTAGAAACTAAGTCAGTGTACTACAAATACATAGTATTAGTTATAGTATGATCCTTTTGAGTCTAGTTTCAATTGAATAAAATAAAAAATTGGATAAATGATATCAGTTAATAACTTAAAAAATCCAGAAATTCAAAGCTTATACTGCCAACTAAAAGGTTTACATTTTTTTTCTAGTTGGTAGCAAATGCTAATGGAATTCAATGATGATTACTTAAAGTTCCTTCAAATCACACATTCAATCAGGATAATAAGGAGAACATTTAAAAAATAAGGAGAACATAACATGCTTACTGTGGAGTGTGATTAAGACATAAAAATTTTTTGCTTGAAAGTAATGATTGTGTAGCACATAGGACATTTGTCAACTGCTTCAGCACACTCTTTACAAGTGACCAGATGTCCACAAGGAATAAAAACTACAGCAATATTTCTATCCATACAGATTTTGCAAAGCTTCTCTTCTTGTAGGCGCCTTAGCTGCTCCTCGGTACTAATATCTGCAGAAAGAGGAAACAAATGCACTAGATTTAGATGTTCTTAGTTGCTGAAATTCTCTGAAACATTTACTGAACCCCTACTGTGCGCCAGACACTCAAGTGCTGGGAGATACAAGGGTGACTCACACAGAATGTGTTCTTAAATAGCTGGTGGGAGAGGGTGTGAGAGCAGGCCATAGAGGTGAGCACAAAGTACATAGTGATAAGTGCTATAATAAAGTTATGTACAAAGTGCTCTGGGACAAGATGAACAAGTCCTTCTTCTTCAGGCTAGTTGAAGAAAAGCTTCATGGGGGAAGAGAACAATGGAGAAGTGACATTTAAGCATGGGTAGCAATTTGCTAGCAGAAAAGTAAGGTTAGGTATAAGCAGCATATGGAAAGGGCATATCTCATTCTACAAAGCGATGAATTTGAGGGATACTTTAGCAGTGCAACAAGCAGGATTCCATGGATGGCTGAGGAAAAAAGAGGAACTAAAGTTGACTTCAAGATTGCTAGCTGACTGACAAGGAGATGGTGATGACAGAAGTACAAAAGGAGACATTTTGTAAGGGGTCAGGGACATTTTGTAAGTATTGTTTGAGGTGTCTGCGGGAAACCCAACAAAAATATCCAGTGGGCATACGGAGAGTCAAATTTTGAGGTCAGATGTCTTTCTCTAGAGATAAGATTCGGGCGCCATCAACAGACAGGTGACACCATAGTACTGGCTTAATTTAGCCTTTCCCAATATATGTTCTGTAAAATGCTAACAAACAGGCCATAAAAATATGTTTGTGGCTGTACATATATATGAAATATATAAAGGAAATAGACAGAACAATAATAGAGCATAAATACTATGCGCTAGGCACGACTCCAAACACATTATGTATTCTAAGAATCTTTGTAAATCACTGTATAATAATGTTTCCCAAATTACTTAGGGTATGGTGTGTGTGTGTGGTGCAGGACTTCACACATACTAGGCAGGTGTTCTACCAATGAACCACATTTTCAGCCCTAAGGCTTTTTTTTGAGACAGAGTCTTGCTATGCAGATCAGGCCTTTAACTTGAAATGATCCTCTTACCTCAGCCTTCAGAATGCTGTGATTACAGGCATTCACCACTATGCCCAGCACTGAGACCTTTTTTAATAGATTTCTAGGTCCCTATTCACTAAATCTAAAACTTCTTGAGTCAAGTATACTGGCGTTTGGGAAGCACTGCTGTCCAGTACAGTGCAGTATGGTGTAGTATATGTCTTCATCTTGGAAATGTAGAATGCATTTTTCTATTTAACTATGAAGGTCTTTTATCAAGGCATCTCTTTTAATGTCCTGGGGAATACTATTTTGAAAATGTATTTGGGAAACAATAGTTTAATTATATTCAACAAATACTAAACACTAACTAGGTTCTAGGAAGTAGGGATACAACAAATTATACTTCATTCATGCCTCCAATAATTCCTAGACTAAAAAAAAAAGAGTTCCTAAAAAAAGTTAGGAACACAAGTAAACAGGAAATTATAATATGCTATGATGACAAAGGCAATTACAATGTATTATGAAGAGCACAGGAAGGGTGTATGTAATGTGTATGTGCGTGTGCATGCAAGCCTAAAAATGGCCTAAACTAGGTCCTGAAAAATGAGCAGGAGTTAACAAGAATAGGGAAAATGTATTAGAGGCTAGATAGTGTGAGACAAGTTTTCTAGGCAAAGGAAATGGCAGAAGCAAACTCCAATTAACATGGAACCTGGCCTAAGTGTACATGTAAAGTGTGGCCACTGAGCTTTAGGGGATAAAGGATAGGAAGTGCCTGATCATGAAAGATTTGACAAGCCATGTAAAGGAGTCTGTACTTGATCCTGAGGACCATGGAAGTTGTTATCACACTTGTGTTTCAGAGATGTTTCTCTGGTTAGAGGGTGAAACAAAGGATTGTGTAATTTTTTTCTTCTTAAAAATGCAACCTTCTGAGGCTATGGAAATCAACATAGAGACTATTAAAAAAACTATTAGAAATTCTACAGGACCCAGCTAAACCTTCCCTGGGTATATTCCCAGAAGAATTAAAAAAGTCACACTACAGTGACAAATGCATACCTATGTTTATAGCATTGTGATTCACAACTATTAAGTTCTGCAAACAGCCTAGATGTCCATTAACATGAATGGATGAAGAAAATGTGGTATATACACACAATCGAATTTTATTCAGTCACAAGAATGAAATAATATTATCTGCAGGAAAAGGGATGAATCTGGAGACCATAATATTAAGTGAAATAAGTCACACAGAAAGTTAAATATTGCATAGTTTGTCTTATAATAGAAACCTAAAAAAGGGTTATGAGGTGACAGGGAGGCAAACTTTTTGGAAATTAAAAAAGGGGATCAGAGAAATGGTAGGAAAAGGGTAGGGTGGGGATGTGCAAGGAACAAAAACGATCAAGAAATAACATCCATATGAACTAGTTCCCCAAAATGAATGTAACTATTATATATCACAAAAATACACTAATTGAACATAAGCAACTTTTTGTGTTAATAAAAGCTATAGACTCTGGCTGGGGATGTTGCTTAGTGGTACTGTGTTCAATCTCCAGTACCAAGCCAAAAACAAAAAATTTCTAAAGGTTGGTCATTCAGCAGTGTGAATGCACCTAACATTACTGAACATTAGATCAGTCAGAAAATGACTGAATTCTACTCCCAGCTATCTGAGTTGTCTTCAGTAACAGCTCATCCACACACGTCAGGTTTGTCACTGAAGTAATGAAAATTGTGATAAGATCTTTAAGGCTCCTGGTTCTCACTGTGATTTCATTTTACAAAGCTGGTGAAATGAAATGCTGTGTCTGTCACTTCCCTGCCCCTTCCTCCTCTTGCTGTGTTATTTTGTTATAGCAGCTCAAGCAGACAGACTAATACGTAATATTATGGCTTAATAATGCCCTTATCTATTGGCTATATGTAAGTTGTCAAGTATTTATTTTGAAGTACTATAGCAAAACTACAAGTTGAAATGCTATGAAGCAAGACTGGAGAACTATTGATAATGTTATTTTTTGTGATGGGATCTCACTATGTTGCCCAGGCTGGTCTTAAACTCAGGATCTCCTTGCCTCGGTTTCCTGAAGTATTGATAATTATTGAAACTGACAGATGAGTACCTGAGGTTTGGTTATATTTTTCTCTACACTGTTGTGTATTTTTGAAATTTCTCATAATAAAACAATTTTAAAGGAGGATATGATAGAAGAGAAATAAATGGGGCCACAGGATGATAGTAGATATTACTCCTAATAAAGTGCTGTTATTTTTCTTGCTTTTTAAAAATAGCCATGCATACCTTTCTGCAATGAAGTCTGACTTGATTCATCTTGTGTATTATCTTTCTGAACACTCACTAGATCTGCAACTAGAACCTCCAGTGATACGTAATTGCTCCCAGACGTCTGAATTTTTTCCTCCATTATTTTCTTAATATCCCTGAAACTGAATCCCATTCGTATAGCTTCTTGTACCATGGGATTCTGGAAGACTGTATCATCTGAAATGAAAATGGGGAGGAAAAAAGAACAGAGTTTAAACAATATTTTCATTACCACCACAACAAAATAGCTTTAAAAAAACAAGCAAAAACCCAGCAAACCAAAGGGAAAGGTGAGAGAAAAAATTACATAGGAGGGGAGAATTTTTTAAAATATTCAGTCATTGAGAAATCACTTTCAGAATCTTTTAATTCATTATAGATGCTGTGAGTATGTATTTTATAGCACTATGAATCATTAAAGATTAGGGCTTGAGTGTGACAGAGCCAGGTATTGTGGTGTAGGCCTATAATCTCAGCACTCTGGGAGGCTTAGGCAAGAGTTTACAAATTCAAGCTCTGTCTGGGCAATTTAGAGAAGCCCTGCTTCAAAATAAGAAATGGTTGAATATTTAGCTCATCACAAAGGCCTTGAGTTCAATCTCCAATACTGCCAAAAAAAGCGTGTAAGATTTATATAAAAGACCTTAAATTGCCGAAACAATTTAGAGCATAAAAAGCAATGCTAGAGGCACTACAATAGTTATTTTCAAAATATACAACACAACCATTGTCACAAAAATAGCATGGTGGTGCAGACCTAATTTCAGCTACTCAGGAGGACCATAAGTTTGATCCACATCCCCAGTCCCTCACTAAAATATTTTTTTAAAAGAGAGGAGGTAGGAAAGGGAGACACATAGAAATATGATTATTAGGAACATTATATGGTAGGTAACTTTAAGATTTGTATTTATTGGGGCTGGGGATTTAGCTCAGCGGCATAAGCGCCTGCCTTGCAAACAGGCAGTCGTGAGTTCGATCCCCGGTACAGATAAAAAGGAAAAAGACAAAAAAAAAAAAAAAAAGATTTGTATTTGTTAAGGACAAACACTATTGGGAAGTTATAATGAAGACAAAGGACTAGTTAGGGTAGTATAATAGTCCAAATGAAAAATAAGTGGCTGATGCCAGGTTTGGTGATCCACTCCTACAATCCCAGTATTCTGGAGTCTGAGGCAGGAGGACAGTGAGTTTGAAGACAGCCTCAACTACACAGTGAGACTCTTCTAAAAAAAAAAAAAAAGAAAAGAAAACATAAAGGAAGAAAAACGAAGATAGGAGATAATGATGTGACGAAGGATACAGAGAAACACAGCTGACTATAATGTCAAATGGTGTAGTCACTTTGAAGAACTGTCTGGTGGTTCAAATGGTCAAAGGTATCTATCTATTTATGACCCAACAGTTCCATCTGTATATATATATTTTTTTACCAGTACCCGGGATCGAACTCAGGACTGCCTGCTTGCAAGGCAGGCGCTTATGCTGCTGAACTAAATCCCCAGCCCCCATCCATATATTTTCAAGAGAACTAAAAACATGTCTGCAGAAATAAAAAAAAAAACCATGTACAGGGCTAGGGATTTAGCTCAGTGGCCTAAGTGCCTGCCTGGCAAGCACAAGGTTGTGAGTTCAATCCCTGGCACCAAAAAAAAAAAAAAGCCCCCAAAAAACTTGTTCAAAAATTTCATAGCAGTATTATTCACAATAGTCAAAAAATAGAAAAAAAATTTCTACCAACTTAGAAATCAAAATGTATTATCCATACTATGGAATACTATTTTACCATAAAAAATAAAGAGGCTGAGCATGATAGTGTATACTGCTAATTCCAGCTACTTTAGAGACTAAGACAGGACAATCATGAGGTAAAGGAGAGAGACTAGACAACATAGCAAGACTCTATCTCAAGAAAGAAAAATAATGAAATACTAGTATATGCTACAACCTAAATGAAATCTTTTTTGTCTTTATTTAAGACAAGGTCTCACTATACAATTCAGATTGGACTTGAACTCACAACAATCCTCCTGTCTCAGCCTCCTGTGTGCTAGAATTAACACAGATGAAACTTGAAGGTATATATTACATAATTCCACTTATATTAAAGGTGCAAAATAGGTAAAACTACAAAGATAAAAAGTAGGTAAGTGGTTATCTGGGCCTGAGGGTAGAAAAATGGACATAACTTCTGATGGGTAGGTATGAGTTTTCTTTCTGAGGTGTCTATAATATACAATTTGAGTGATGATGAATATACAAAAAATATTGAGTTGTACAATTTATAAAAATGAAACATTATACATATTACATTTCAATGGAAAAACATTAATCCTAATCCAGATCAAGTGTCACATTAGTCATAAGAACAGTATGACTACAAGGATAATTAAATATCAAAAAAATCAAGAAATGTTATACTGTTTTTTAAGTCACTGTATTTATTTATTTTTGTCTTTTTCGTTTTTATTGGTACCAGGGATCAAACTCATGACTGCCTGCTTGCAAGGCAGGCACTTATGCCGCTGAGCTAAATCCCCAGCCCCTTTTAAGTTACTTTAAAAATACAGCTACACTAAGTGATTTCTTAAACTGTATTGTTTATGCTCATTATAAAACTCATAACAAATAATATCAATGTAGCTCTCCATTTTAAGCATATTTATGACTATACATAGTGTTTCCTTGCTTTGCAATCCTAAAGATACTAAACAGACGATGCTACAAGCATACAGTGGGGAATCACCAGACATGTTCTAAATTAAACTTTCTATTTATGAAACCTGCTGCCTAAAATGAAAATGAGATCTGTGTGTGACATAGAATTCAGAAGACCTCGTTCATAGTTCTAGTCCCACTAATGATTTATAATGTGACTGGGTAGATCATGTAAATTCTCTGTTTCCTCATCTGAAAAGTGGGGATAACAATACCTTTTTTCTTTAAGAATTATCTTTTTCTATCCACTTGCTGGGTTTTTTTTTGTCTTCTAGTGCTGGAGATGAAACCCAGGGTACTGCCCATACCCGTCAACAGTACCGCCACTGAGCTATATCTCCAGCCCCTTTTGCTCTACTTGGCCTCAAACTGATTCTCCTGCCTCAGTCTCACAAACAGTTATGATTACAGGCATGTGCCACCTTCTTGAAAAAATTATTTTAATTTTTTAGAGACAGAGTCTCACTCTGTTGCCCAGGGTGGCCTCAAATTTCTGAGTTTAAACCATCCTCTTATCTTAGCCTCTGAGTAGCCAGGATTACAAGTATACACCATGATACCCAGTTTGTACTAACACTCTTAATACTCAGAAATATCTGACCTTTATTCATAAACCCTTCTGTAAATTTTTAAATATATAGCAATCTCATCCTAATAAACATACTCTCATGACTTTGAAACTATATGCTTATCTTTTAACCCTATACATAGATAACTGGGAGCAATATTAAAAGCACATTCATTTTAATAGCATATTTACCATTTCTTTTCATTAGTGATGGTGTTTTTTCCGCAGTTCTTACCTAAAATAAAAATGTGAATTGTGAATAAGAATTCTTTTTGATAGAAGGCAATTTATTTTTTATTTTTATTTATTTTTTGGTACCTGAAATCAAACTCATGACCTCCTGCTTGCCAGGCACGTGCTTATGCCACTGAGGTAAACCCCCAGCCCAATAGAAGGCAATTTAAAATGTTACATTAATCATAAACTTAAAAAATTGGATGGACTCTAATTCAAAATATGAACATCCACAAAATTTACAGCCTGATGGAACAGAAGGAAGTTAAAAAAAATTATCTAATCCAATCCCTTCACTTTACAGATAACAAGCTGAGACCCAGGGAAATTACATGACTTCATAGAGGCAAATAACAACTAATGGCAGATCTGTCGTGGTAACTCTGGTCTCCCATTCTAGTCTGGATTTTTTTTAGCATATTACTAACTCCTTGGCCACCCCAGTTCTTATTAATTTACATACATTTTACAGATCTTGTATGTTGTCTACACAAAGGTTAAAACTATTTATGAGTGCAAAACACATCCACACAAAGGTCTAATTTCAGAAGGGTAAGGGACTTCAGTAGTCTTTCAACATCATTCTTTATTACAATGATACTTAAATTAGTTCATTCTAATCCCCTTTTCATAAATTTACTTCAGGCTAAGGATAAGAAATTTTCTTTAAATTCTCTCCTTTAAAGCTCACTACCCAATATTAATTCACACTATTGTACTGTGAATTTTACATAAAAAAGTTATAAAACAAATTATACAATATTTGAAAAATGTTTTACACAATATGAGACTTACCAAAGACTCCTCAAGTGAATGGGTTAAATGAATATTGTTTATATATTCTTGTCCCTTCTCTTCCAAAAGATATTTACACCTAAATAAGGAGAGATTAAACTTCAGAAGCTGATAATTTAATAAAGTATTAGTAAAGACATTATCTCCATATTTATTTCATTAACTTGTTTTTCATTGTTTCTAAGGAGCCATGAAGAATATTACCAATTCCATATCTAATCATCATTTTAAGTTTAAAAAATGTTCCTCTTCTTATGCTGTGTCAGTAGGGCAAAAATACCAACTTGAAAACTTTTAAGTATGTTATTAAATTGGTACCTTGACATTTTTCCAGAAGTTTAAGGTAGCTAATTTTCTTAACAGGTTCTACTTTTTAGATGATTAAACAATTATGCATTTAAAAATCTTCATTTTCAACCTTTCTTTTTAAGGTTACTTAAGGCTAACATGTCTTTACAAATGATTTCTCTGAAGTTTTAAATTGTACTATTTTGTAGGCCAGAAATTTATATCACTTATATACCTGAGTACTTTGTTTTAAAAAGACAGGATGGCAAAGAGACATTTAGAATATGTCATCAACCTAAGATGTCTCTCATTGTAAGAAGTAGCATGTTTATTTTATGACATAAGACTTCTGCCAATTAAATTACGATCTGTTATCAGACGTGGCCTGATTTCAGAGATCTTAAAATGTAAACAACTCTATGTCTGAGAATCAATCAGATTCATTAGAATTTCCTAGGATATATGATGGCTTCTTCAGGACTCTCCTTGGCAACATGGGCTCTCCCAAATTCATCACTGAAGAGTCTACTTTCAACAATAAGTACATATTTCCTAATTTGGTATTTTGGAATGAAATTATCTTAATATCATAGATATGATATATAAGCAATGAGTGGTCACTAGAGAAGGCTTAAGTGTTTTTTCACCTTATAAAGTAGGTGACCCTGTTTTTACAAACCTGGTACAAATTTCAAGACATATTGAAGGCAAAAATAATTGAGGTGAAAAGTAATTCAAACCCTCCCACTGCAAAGTGTCCAACTTGCCTGTTACTGAATGAACCATTAAACATCTTACCCTGGATACCACTTAGCATGTTGTTCCCAAGGGTCTTCACTTGGCTTCCAATCAGTTAGTCCTCCTCCACAGTGAAAGCACTTTACCTTATCACCTTCACCTAAAAAAATATACAAGTAACAACATATGCATTTGTACAACTAGATATCTTATACACAAATACTCATTCTAACATCTAAAAATTAAGCACATCTAACTTCCATAAAAATCATACAGTTTAAGACATTCATATATAAATGTATGATCTTTATCATTTGAGAAAATACACATTAAATTCACTGACCCAATCTGAAGTATTTTATGGAAGACAACTAAAAATAAACATAACCAATTTTTCTACTAAGAACTACAATTGTTACATTCTTTTTAATTTTTGTTATTTGAGTCACCAATATTGCATTTACTTTGTCAAACTGAACTTTAAAACAAGTTAAACTCCGAGTATCAAAACAATAAATTTCAGCATAATGAAGTTACAAGATAAGATGTTCTAAGGTTATAGCTCAACAATACTAAACAAAACTTTGATTAGTATATGTTGGTACATACATACAATTTTTTTTATCGGTACCAGGTATCAAACTCATGACTGCCTGCTTACAAGGCAGGCACTAATGCCGCTGAGCTAAATCCAGAGCCCCATAAATACAATTTTTGAAATAGTAGATATTTTGTATTTTGGCATTATTTAAACCTAAAATAAATGGGTCAGACATGTAATACTTCTTAAAAATACTCTTGGAAGCCATCACGCTAATTGCCTTTCTGGATACAACTAGAGCATTCATTTCAGAAACACTCATTTGTAGTAGTAAGTATAATACTAGGTAACTTTCAAATATCGACTATATATTAAAGGTAGACATTAATTTTAGTTTGAGCCAAACTCTAATATTAACTCATTTTAAGAGTTTTTATGAGGCTTAGAGGAAATACATGTAATATATATACTGAGCACATGTATTAGATGATAGCCAGTATTACTATTAGACTCATGTTTCTATTGTCCCTCTTAAGATTACATAAGTTTAAACTTAACTCATGTCTTTTTTACATAAATTCCATAATTATATATGTTTAGAGAATAATACTGATATAAATAATCATGCCAGCTTATATTTAAATATTTACCAATTCAGGGGGTTAAAGACATCTATTTACTGTTTAAAAACCCCAGGATAGTTTGAAAGTTTATTTACCTAAAGCATAAAATCCAGCTCTTGCAAGCTGCTCCTTATTAACTGAATACGTCCATGTCCCAAAAGTAATGATCCGGGCTTCATACTCTGCCATGGCTGGATTTCTTGGAGGAATTGTTGAATTTGGGAAATTCCTATTAGAACTCACATCGGATTCACTTCGAACATTAATGTTCCGACCCAAAACAAAGAAGCACTTTGGGAAATGTCGTCTGTGTTCTGACCAGGCACGATCACAAGGTTCCCAATTTTTCAGTTTTCCACCACAACAAAAGCACTGCACTTGATCATCAATACCTGTGTAGTAGAGTCCAGCACTAGCTAACTCTCTGGGAGTTAAGTGGGCATAGTCTGGCCAGTTATGAAATGATTTTAATCTAGCTTCTTCACTACACATGGCAGGATTCCTTGGGTATATAGTATCTGATATATCTACAACCTGTCCAGTTCTTAGAAGATAGTCTGCATGAGTCTCAGGTGATTTGTCTACAGCAAAATGATTTCTGCTTCCCAGACAGTTTTCAGCTTTGCACTGACCATTTTGGACACCAGGATTTGTAGGCTGTGCAGTACTATTTTCAAAATAAAATCCTTTGATAAATCTGCAATTTGGGGACACTTTTCTGTGTCTCCCAACTGCGGAGTCTCCATATTGCCATCTATCTACTGCCGCATGACAACTAAAGCAGCGCACAGTGTCTCCTTCACCAGTGTAAAGAAAACCCGCTCGTGCCAGTGTTGATGCTGAAACAGGACTACTACTTGGAAAATTAGCAAAAGTTTTTAACCTATTAAACTCTTCTACAAATTCTCCATTCTGATTGATGTCTGCAGGCACGTAAGTGTTAGATCCTTCAAAACTGTTAAACGTCATCTTCTCTTGAAAAGAAGACTCGTCCACTTTTCTAAAAAAGAGAACATTGTATTAGGAAAGCCAAAATGCGAAACAAAGCCATATGTGTTTGGTATTAGAAGCTAAAAATTATCCACCGATGACATAAAAATAACTATACAATCACCAAAACGTTCAAATTCTAAATACTAGAACTCTTATTTCACCACACCATTCAAGTCATACAGTAAAATCTGATATTTTTGTTTTGTCTGCTACTCTCTCTCTTATGGTGCTGGAGACTGAACCCAGGACTTCATACATGTGAGATAGTAAGCACCACTGAGCTATACCCCTAGCTCTGTTTCCTTTTGGGGGAAAGTAATATTTAAACAAGTAGATGAAAACTATTTTTAAGTGCTTATTTTATATGAATATGGAAACGGTGATGTATAATATAATTAAACATGTACATCATTAATTAGGAAAAACATTAACAAAGCACAAAATATGCAGATATTTAAAGTCTATGCATAATTGTTATAATGAATTGTTGTGTAGTCAAGGAAGAGTTCGGTTTTCAAAATTTAAAAAAATAAATGTTTGGAATGTTAATGAATTAATTTTAAATATTTATTCATGTTCCTACACATTTAGGAGAATAAAATGCTTCTGATTTTCCTGAATAAATGAGTTCATTTTTGATAGAAGTGGGTCGGAAATCTATGAGTATAAATAAACATATTAAATACTGCCCTCTACAGGGTGGCTGAGGAAAACCCTAAGTATTTGTAGATCTTAATTGCAGTTACTTTTGCTATCAATTTTTCTTGGTCAAGGAACGATCTGTTCTTTTTTTTTTTTTTTTTGTCTTTTTCTTTTTTTATCGGTACTGGGGATCGAACTCACGACTGCCTGCTTGCAAGGCAGGCGCTTATGCTGCTGAGCTAAATCCCCAGCCCAGGAATGATCTGTTCTAACGGAAGAGAATTTGGCAGCATAATTAGAGCTGCCAAATTATAGCTATGTAATATTTAACTCAGATAACATACTAAAAGGAGCCAGTTGGATTTAGAATGGTGGCAAGACAATTTATCCTCTAAACCTAGATGCTTCTGAAAGCAAAAAAATAATGAATAAAATGAATAATTGCTCAGGGACAATATGCATAGCTCAGGGCTGCCCCAGGCACACCAGACTGTATGGTTGCCCTAACTATGAGGCAAACCTGGTTCTCCAGAATCTCCCATGGTGTGCAATGTCATGCAAATGTAAAATAAAAGAATGCTAAACCCACAGCCTAACCCGCACCACATACACAAGCAGATGGCTCACATATACACATAGAATCCAACTTAAAAATGTGAATCAACTGAATAGATATTTCTTGAAAGAGGATACTCAAATAGGCAACATGGTGATAACCACAAATTCACAATGGCTAATTTTGCACACTTACTTAACGGATAAATGGAGGTTTGGGAAAGGATAAATGGAGGATGGGAAATTTCAAATGGCTGACACCCATTTGAGATATCCCACTAACTCTTTAGGGATGGGCCAACCTCTCCCAACCACTAAAACAAACTAAACCCACTAAATGTAAAAAATACTCCAGGGCAAGATCCTTCTTGGCATAAGATCATCTCTGCCCTCTTGAGTTATTACAAGATTATACCCAAATTGAGTCATAGACCTCTGAGTCTTCTGTCAGTCGTGCCTATCACTGTATATACCAAATAAATAGTGGCTGTCTTGGGGTGTTGCTCTCTTGGTCCATCTGGAGGCATCAACTTCTCAGTTACTCATCGTGCATTATCAAATTTGTCTCTGTTGTTGTTGGTTTTTTTTTTTTTTTTTTTGGATACCAGGGATGAACTCACAACCTTGTGCTTGCCAGGCAGGTGCTTATGCCGCTGAGCTAAATCTCGAGCCCTTCTTTCTTATTTTATTCCTCTCATTGTACTCTTGATACAGGCAATCGGAGATCTGACCAGGTCCCCAACAAACAACAAGCATTATTAAAAAATGTTCAACATCACTAATCATTAGGGAATGCAAATCAAAACCACAATGAGATACCATCTCACGCTTGTTAGGATAGCTATTTTATTGCTACAAAAACCAACAAATTCTGGTGAAGATGTAAAGAAAGGGAAACTCTGATACACTACTGATGGAACTGTAAAAAGTACAGACATGGAAAATAGCATGGAGGTTCCTCTAAACACTGGCAAACAGGGAGCCAGGATTTTAGCTTAGCAATGTAAGCACCTGCCTGGCAAGCATGAGGTCATGAGTTCAATCCCTAGTACCAAAAACAAAAACAACAACAACCAAAAAAACCCCTGGGAATAGGATTTAACAATCCTGAGTTATAACCAAAGGAACTAAAGTCAGTACGTTGAAGAGATATCTACATTTGCACATTTTACTATAGCACTGTTCACAACAGCCAAAATATAGAATCAACCTATCCATTGCTGGATGAAGGAATAAAGAAAACGTGGTATATATACAAAATGAAATATCTTTCAGACATAAAAAGAAATTCTGTCATTTGCAGCAATATGGATAGAACTGGAAGACATTACATAAAGTGTAATAAGTCAGGCACAGAAAGGCAAATACTGTATTTTCTCATGGGTAAAAGCTAAAACATCAATATCATGAGTACAGCACCAAATAGTGGTTTGTGTGTGTCGGGAGATGATGATAAGATGGTCAATGGGCATAGATGTACATTTTGCCAGGAGTAACTTTGAATGTTCTACTACATAGGGGAATGAATATGATTGAAAACCACTAGCTAAGTATTTCAAAATGGCTACTAGATAAGATTTTGAATGTTCCTAATACAAAGAAAAACAAGTATCTGAGGTCTGATATGTCAATAATTTTGATCTGATATAATGGATTGTATACATGCAATGAAATATGACACTGTACCCTATAAATATTACATATTATTCTATGTCAACTAAAAGTAAAAATGTATTTTTTTTGTCTTTTTCGTTTTTATCGGTACCGGGAATCGAACTCACGACTGCCTGCTTCCAAGGCAGGCGCTTATGCCGCTGAGCTAAACCTCCAGCCCCCGTAAAAATATATTTTTAAAAAAAGAATGATCACAGTGACTTTGTCTCTGCTCCATATGGTCATTGATTTCTTAAGGAATGATCCAGATCTTTCAACATTATGTTGGCAAAATACCTATAGAACATCACCTCTCTTTGCGTAACAATCATCACAAGGCTTCTCTCTTGTAAGCTGGCAATGAACTTCAGAATTTCTTGGTTTGTCAATTTACAGTGGTAATAATTCATATAAATACCATAATAACTGAGTTATACATATATATATATTAAATTTTTAAAAAATAGTCTCTCTATGACTTTTGATTATCATTTGCCAGATGTCAAAACATTCTGACATTAACTTCAAAGCCCTTTGTTGAACTGGAGAACAAAAACCAAGATTCAAACAAACCAAGGCTGGCTTACAGGCTACAAGAATAAATTTTTTTTTTGTTTTTTGACAGGGTTTTGCAATGCAGTTCAGGCTGGCCTTGAACTTGTAATGGGTGATCCTCCTGCCATACCCTCCTGAATGCTGGGATTATAGGCATGGGCCACCATACACTTATAGTGAGATAAAATTTAATAGGAGCAAATGTAAAGTTTTATATTGTGGTTTTTAAAAAACTATTACTAAGGAACTAGGAGATTTGGTCTGTAATAAAATCATGTAAAGGCAAACTTCCAGACTAAAAACCTTGGAATTTTAGTTAACTATTAATTTATTATGAGCCAACATTACATTGCTGCCAAAAAACAAAACAACAAAAACACAACTTTATAGCAATTGCTAGGGTATGGTGGTGCATGCCTGTAATACTAGAACTTGGGAGGCTGAGTTGGTCATTCTGGGCAACACAGCAAGTTCAAGGCCAGCCTGGACTACAAAACAAAATCTTATCTTAAAAACACACACCACATCAAAAAAATGTATAGCAAATTCAGACTACATTAGTGATCAGATGTGCAACATCCAGATCCAATTCAGATACATCCTGAATATTATTTTTAGTTCCAAAGACATTTTAGAAGAGACAACAAAATTTAACGTTTTTAGCAATCAGGATAATGAAAATGATATCACAGGAAGAGTCAGAAGAGGTGAGGATGCTTATCTCAAAGGGAGAAAAATTTGTGAGGCAAAAGGTAGAAGGGATAGAATAAATATTAGTAAGATATCTAAAAGGCTACTCTGGGGAAAAGGGAGCCAAATTCTATGTAACATGAAGGAAGAATTAAGGCCAGCAAGTATAATTATACCAAGTACACTTTAACCCAATACAAGGATAAACTTTACAATAGTAAGTGGCAGTATAAAATGCACTGGGTTGTGTATCAGTCAGTGCTTACTACAAAAACAGATTTCATGCAAGATACACAAACACAGTGTATAAGAACTTACAAAACTGATTTACAATGGCTACCCACAGAGTCGAATACAGAGAAGTGCAAAAGGGCTGTGGACTAGAGATTCCAAGGATCTAGTCGAAGGCCTGGAACTCACTAAGATCCCATGTGAGTCTGCATCAATGGGCCAAATGTCTACAATGGAAGGCTGAAGGGTTTGCGCTGGAGGCTGAAGATGACACCCAAAGTGAAGGTGGAGCTCCTCTGAAAAACAAAAGTGAGCCTACCTTGTTTCCTTTTTATTTCATTCAGGTGGCAAGCTTATTGGTTGCTGACACCGGGTGGGTCTTCTCTCTAGAAAATCCCATCAGCCACACCCAGAACTATGCTGATAACAATGAATTTAGCTGGGCATTTCTTACTCAAATTGACACAATTAGTTAACCATTATAACCCACCCTTTATCAACTTGACCACCAGACACATTTCCTTAAACCAGTCTCCAAATACAAAAGTGACAAATATCTTGCATACAAACAGAAGCATATGAATCCTCCCCACCCCAGCAGTTTTCTTTGGATGATGCTTACTCCTAACATTTCATAACTTGAACACTGTAACACAGGTTTAGCAATACTTAACCAATATT